AGTCGGACGCTTAACCGACTGCGCCACCCAGGCGCCCCTCCGAATGCATTTTTAATTACATTGAGTCATTTGGTTGTTTGAAGTAAGACAAAGTTAAAATGTTGTATTTTTCCTTCTCAGAGTGGCTATTTCAAGGTATTGAATCTTGGAGAAATGGCTTTCGTTCATTTGGACGTCCTATGCTTCTATAGCCTACTCGTTTGCACAGCATTTAGTTCTGTGTCTTCAAATGCTGAGATAAAAGGTAAAGCAACAACGGAGTCGTTTTAAAATTTGGGGTATTAACTGTCTTTTCTTTTCTTTTTAAATTTTTTTTTAATGTTTATTTATTTTTGAGACACAGAGAGACAAGAGTACGAACGGGGGAGGGGCAGAGAGAGAGGGAGACACAGAATCGGAAGCAGGCTCCAGGCTCCGAGCCGTCAGCCCAGAACCCGACGCGGGGCTCGAACTCACGGACCGCGAGATCGTGACCTGAGCTGACGTCGGACGCTTAACCGACTGAGCCACCCAGGCGCCCCTTAACTGTCTTTTCAACCTACCCTGTTAAAATGCGTAATAAGTAGATGGATTGTTACTGGAAATATTTCAGGAAGTCCATACACAAAAGATGTTCCCACTAGCCAGCCTCACATATGAGGTAACTAATGACAACGAACACTTTGCAGAGTGAAAGCCAAGCTAAAAGACACTTTCCATACCTTTTTGTATAGTCTTCTAAGAAATAAGACGCCTCATTGCCTGTTACTCAGCTAACTGGAAAACTTTCTTTATTTGCTATCCTTAACTTTTAAGGCAATTAGATAAATACAAAAAATATACAGAGACTCAAGTAAAAGTTAAAAATGACCACAGAATTGCTAAATCATGTCTACTGAATTTTTCTTATTGCAGAAGGTAATCAGAACAATGTATTTCACAAAGATTTCTATCCGTAAGAGTTGAAGCAGTGGGATTGTCATTTCAACCTCAGTAGAAGACCTTCTTTATTGGTACACGGGCGTCCCAATGTCAAAGTATAATTTGTGCCACAGTTTTTTTTTTTTTGTGGGTTCTTCACCTCAATAAGTATTAAGAAATCCAGCATTAAAATAAATGGGCCGAAATGAATTTATTAGCAGAAAGGCAACATGAGGGTGGCACTATAGTGCTATTACATTTGCTAGTAATAGAAAAATTTGTAGAATTGTTTGTTTGCTTTTTATCTTTTAAATTAAAAAAAAAATTTTTTTTTACATTTATTCACCTTTGAGAGACAGAGAGAGACAGAGCATGAGTGGGGGAGGAGCAGAGAGAGAGGGAGACACCGAATCCGAAAAAGTCTCCAGGCTCCGAGCCGTCAGCCCAGAACCCGACGCGGGGCTCG